AAAAAAAAAAGTGACATGAGTTCTTTCTCCTCTCCCAGCCCAAAAAAGAGGAAAAAGACATTCACACAAAACTAGCTTATGTCTTTGTGACAGAAGATCTGACCAATCAGCCTAGGCAACAGAGTGAGACTCCTACCTCTACAAAAAAATTTTAAATATTAGCCGGTATGGTGGCACACACCAGTAGTCCCAACTACATGGAAGGCTGAGATGGCAGGATTTCTACTATATAGAATACTCATATACTCATATATATATATATATATCTCATATCATTTTATTTATATAAAACCTGCAGAGATAGGCATTAGTGGCACTTTTCAGATGAGGAAACTGAAGCCAGGTTGATGCAGCCTGGACCAAAACCCTGAACTTTGGACTTCAGGTCGTGGGCCATCTTAATCCGTAACTCATTTCCTTTTTTACCTCCGGGCTCCAACTTAAAAACATGTAAATAATGTTGTACACGGGTTCTGAGATGCGTTTAAAAAAAAAAAAACTTTTTTTTTTTTTTTTTTTTTTAAGACAGAGTCTTGCTGTTACCCAGGTAAGAGCATGATCTCCACTTACCACACCTCCACATCCTGGGTTCAAGCGATTCTCCTGCCTCAGCCTCCTGAGTAGCTGGGATTACAGGAGCACGCCACCATGCCCAGCAAATTTTTGTATTTTTAGTAGAGATGGGGTTCCAACATTGTTGGCCAGGCTGGTCTTGAATTCTCTACCTCAAGTGATCTGCCCGCCTTGGCCTCCCAAAGTGCTAGAGTTACAGCCATGAGCCACCATGCCTGGTCACAAACAATCTTAAATGGAAACTCAACAGAGGAACTGTCCTGATTGAAACCGGCATCCAGTTCTGCACCTCCACCATCCTGGGGTCAGCCTCTGAGCCACCTTCTGCTCCAATCCCTAAAGTGAGAAGCTGGCCCAGAAGTCAAATGACTCTGCCAAAGGTCACACAGGGAGTACATGTCAAAGAACCTCATCGTCTGACTCCACAACCCAACACTTTCTGAATACCTACTATGAGGGTTTTTTCGTGCAGATCACACTAAAGGCAAAACAAATTTACCAGCACAATCATTATCAAGTGTTGCTTTAGTGCCTCACTGTGAAGGCAAATGTACCTACCAAAGATGAATTGGGTATTTAATGTAAGTTCAGAGATTAAAGGACTGAGTTCAGTTTTCACAGTGACACAGAAGTTGCTTTACTTTTAGGAGCAAATGTGACATAAGCCTTATCAACACAAGCAAATCTGGGTCTGAAGAGCGTGACAAAGTAGAATCTAGTTATTGAACAAAAAAGCCAGTTAACGCCGGGCGCGGTGGCTCACGCCTGTAATCCCAGCACTTTGGGAGGCCGAGGCGGGCGGATCACGAGGTCAGAAAATCAAGACCATCCTGACTAACACAGTGAAACCCCGTCTCTACTAAAAATACAAAAAATTAGCCGGGCGTGGTGGTGCGCGACTGTAGTCCCAGCTACTCGGAGGCTGAGGCGGGAGAATGGCGTGAACCCGGGAGGCGGAGCTTGCAGTGAGCAGAGATCGCGACACTGCACTCTAGCCTGGGCGACAGAG